TAGGCGACTAATAATTTTAACTTTTTCCCCTAAATTTAAGGAAACAACAAAAAAATAGGCTGCCTGGATATGCAACTAGGTGGACAACCTATATAACAAGCTCAAGAACAACAACAAGCTAGAGAATAAACACAATAAACAAACATGCACAAAGGAAGTAAAGGATAGAAATAACCGTGAGTGGAGACGATGATGTTGTTCCCGAAGTTCGCGCCTTTGGGGAGGTACATCTTCGTCGAAGGGGTGTAGAGGCAAAATGCACCCCAAAACGCCACAATGGCTCGCACTATTCTCCTTGTGCCCCCGCACAATGCAAGGTGTCATGATTCCATTATATGGTGCCGTTGAAGGCGACAACCAGAACCTTTGCAAACAAGGTTGGAGCAATCTCCACAACTTAACTGGGGGCTCCCAACACTGGCAGTTTGGCACGAAGCTTCACCACAATGAAATGTGCCTTCGAGGTGACTTCTTCCATCTAGGGTGCCCAAACACCCAAGAGTAATAAGATCCACAAGATAAAGTATGGGGGAGTCAAATTTCCTTTGATGGAAATGTAGATCTAGGTCTACTCTCTCAATCCCTGGCAAATCAACAAGTTTGAGTGGCTAAAGAAGAAAAACGGTTAAGATAAAGCTTAGTGTTAAAAGGCAGAGAGAGATTTGATGGAATAGTTGTTTTATTGCTTGGGCCTCGTGGGCATATATATAGGAGTACAATGACCAACTTGAAGTACAAGACAAGACATGACCAAATCCTAGTCTGTCCTATACTTCCTAATAATCTTATACTCAAGATCCCCCCGCAGTCACAACAGTAGCGATGCAGACGGTGAGACTGGAGAATAATCCGAAGGCAAGCCGACGGACACCCCCTCACAGTCATAACGGTCGATGCATCGCGGAGTCATGGCTGGAATGAAAACCGACGAGGTTGCTCAAGCAGGCGGTAGCCCTTTGTGCCATTTGTCGATATAGCCGAGAGCGTGGGTGGTGGAGCCATGGTCGAGGTAGCCGTGCAAAGAATGTCGTGGTCGATGTTGAGTCAGGGTAGCCGGTGTCGATGAAGTCACTGTGGAGCCGCGGGCGCAAGGGGGCGTCGAGTTAGCATGGGCACAGTTGTGTCGAAGTCGCCGGGAAGA